CAGCCTCGGGATGCTCTCCAGCAGCTGCGCCTCGCCGAGAGCGCTCCGGAGGCCCGAGGCATGGCCCGAAAACCACAGGCCTCGTCTGCTCAGCGTGTCGCGCGCCGCCGATGCTGGCCCGTCGCAGTGTGGCGCGACGCGTCGACCGCGTCCCGAATTCCAATCGGAGGTCGATAGGCCTCCAACCCCGACGCGTCGATTAGCGCATTGGTTGTGTTCGGTTCGCGAGAGGGCGTCGCGGCCGTCGTTTTTGCGGGTCCAGGTCCGCCGATTTCGGTCCTAGGCCATTTTCACTAAAAGGGCGTTACTAGAGTGAGGTTTGTCCACCGCCAGTCCAAGCGTCAACGTCCCAGGCTCTCCCCAGCCTCCCCCACCGCAGAGCGGAGCGACACGATACCAGCTCGCAGGGCATGGCGTGTCGCCGGGGCCGCCGCCGCGACACGCTGGGCAAACGCTGCTTCACCGTACGTAGCACCCCGCAACTGCGGATAAGAGTGAGGGGGCGGGCGCGGGCGACGCGGGCGTCGAGCTGGCGGACCTCGTGGCCCTCACCTTCCCTGTCGATGGCGCCCTCCTCCTCCTTCTCCTCCTCCTCCCCCTCCTCCTCCTGCTCCTGCTCCTCCTCCTCCTCCTCCTCCTCCTCCTCCTCCTCCTCTTCCTCGTCCGCGTCCTCGTCCTCATCGTCGTCGTCGGGCTCTGACAAGCTCAGCGCGGGGGGGGGTCGCTGGAGGGCCACCCAAAACGACTGCAAAAACAGCCCGCCGCAGGCGACGATAATTTTGATTTGTACACTGAACGCGGTTTGGGTCGCAGGTTCTCCACCTGGAACGAATGCCAAAGAAACCCGCCGCAGGCGCCGAAGTTTTGGCTTGTTCAGTGAACGTAGTTTGGGTCGCGGGTGGGTCGCGGGCTCTCCACCTCCACCTGGGAGGAATTCAATAACAGCCCGCCGCAGGCGCCGAAATTTTTGATTTGTACACTGAACGCGGTTGTGCTTGCGGGTGGGTCGCAGGTTCTCCACCTGGAACGAATGCAAAAGAAGCCCGCCGCAGGCGCCGGAAATTTTGGGTGGGTCGCGGGTGCGTCGCGGGTGGGTCGCGGTGGGTCGCGGGTGGGTCGCGGGCACGGTTTGGGTCGCGGGGTGGGTCGCAGGTTCTCCACCTGCAACGAATGCAAAAGAAACCCGCCGCAGGCGCCGAAAATTTTGGGTGGGTCGCGGGGTGGGTCGCGGGTGGGTCGCTGGTGGGACGACAACAAACAACAAACAACAACAAACAACAACAATAGCAACAACAACAACAAACAACAAACAACAAACAACAATCAACAAACAACAAACAACAAACAACAAACAGCAACAACAACAACAACAAACAAACAACAAACAACAAACAACAAGCAACAAACAACAAACAACAAACGACAAACGACAAACAACAATCAACAAACAACAAACAACAAACAACAAACAACAAACAACAGACAACAACAACAACAACAACAACAACAACAACAATAACAACAACAACAACAACAACAACACCAACAACAACAAGAATCCGCATCGCGGAATTCCATTTCAGCCACGCACCCAGGGACAGTGAATGACCGTTCGGTTCAGCCCCCATCACTCTGATATCTGGGCCGGGCAATGACGTGGAGGGAGCAGCACGGGAGGGGAGGTGGGGTGTCAGACCTGGGCCCGAGGCGCGCCCTTCCGGCGCGCCTTCAGCGCCACTCTGCTTTCCCGATCCGGCGGTGGTCATGAGAGGTGAGAACCGAAGAAGAAAATGATGGGCCTCTTTTACACCACCACCACGATAAGTTGGAGGGGGGAAGGAGGAGGACGAGGAGGAGGAGGACGAAGAGGAGGACGAGGAGGAGGAGGACGAAGAGGAGGACGAGGAGGAGGAGGAGGAGGAGGAGGACCCCCTCCCCCTCCAACTTATGGTGGTGGTGGTGATGGAAAACAGGCCGAGGGGGGCCCAGCGCGGATCCAAGAAATCCGCGCGGAGCGCCAGACGTATTCAAATTTCCCGATGCGGCGGTGGTCATGTTGGGGCGAGAACCTCGCAGCAAGCACCTCGAATGTATGGACAAACAAATCAGTACGTTGTTTGGGTAGATGTTGGCCTCGGGGGTGGCCCTCGCTGGCTTCAGGACTGCAAACAAAACACTCAGGATGTAGAAAAGCCTGTTCCTCTACAGGAGGAAGATTCAAAACTAGTCAGACAATAGTCTGAGGACGATGTTTTGGGGCATTTGTTGGCTATCAGTGCCCATTTTTGGGGTGTGTTTTATTTTTCGTTCAAAATCCCCCTGTAGTGGGACATGCCCGACCTGACCCTGGGGAAAGGGTAAGAACTTCGGGCGCCTCGTACTCAAAAAATCAAGGCATAGGATCTATGGGTGCGCTGCGTATCCACATCCTTTGGGACTTGACTTCGACCAATTCCCTACTCCTCGCTCCACGTCACGTCCCCTCTCCTCGTTTCCCTCCCTCCTGCCACTGCTACTGCTATTTCCCCTTCCATCACCACACTTCCGAGTCGGTGGAGCCTGGACGAGTGGAGCGTAAGAGGGGAGGATTCTGGATCGCCATTGCCAGACGCCATGGAACGTGCCCTGAAGATCTGGACCCATGTAAGTTGAAGTATGAGTTCTGCAAGCCGATGCATCAGCCCGCCCTGCTCGGCGAGCAATTGTTCGGAGTTGCAGTGGCTGATCTTGGACTTGTTGTCATGTTCGCTGCATTGGCTGGCGCTCAGGTAGTGTATGCGAGGTCGTAGTCTCGCAACCAAGGGTTGTATGTTTCTGGGGCCTCTTAGGTCTGTGTGTTGGCTCCGTTTGTGCAGATGTTGTTTCACCTAGAATTTCGGCCACGTTCGCAGGACAGCCCTGCTTGTCCTTGGCCATTCTGGTTTTAGCTCTCTGCCGGGTTCTGTGTTTCGTGGGCGGAGTTCAGGAAAGCCTCCTCCAGGGGCAGCGGATTTTTGTGAGGTGGATTTGTTTTCAGGAAAAAATGTTTTTGGGGCCTCTTGCTGATAATTCTTCCCGTGGTAGCTCGCAGTCTGTGCGTGGTTGTTTCGCGGCAGTGCCGAGTCGGGGCAGTCCCTGGAACGATTGGGCTGGATGCTCCCGAGCAGGTCGATCCAGCGCCGCCCGTGTTGCTCGCGTCACAAGGGCTCTGTGTTGGAGCGGCGGCCCTGGCCAGCACGGAGTCACGTAGCCCCGTTGGGTCACAAGGTCAACACGCGGTCACACCAGCCCCGAGGGTTCCCGAGTGGTCACACAGCGTGCCCGCCAACACGGGTGTGGGACTGCCGCAAGTTGGCAGCGCTACAGGATGGACGTTGTCTTAGATGTAGCGCGCGCAGCCCGCTGCTTTCGCACTGTCGTTCGCTGTGGAGTGCCAGGCCTCGCTCAAGGCTGCGCTTCTGCACGCTCGCAGGATGCGGCTGGAGAGTTCCACGATTCCCTTTCGCGCTTATCTGTTGTTCGCAGGTGACTCTCTGGAGCTGTTCGCCGCATCTTTCAAGGGGCCTAAGGACACACAACTAAATACACACAAATAAAAGGATTCCCCATATTTTCCCATACTTTCTGTGTTTTTGTCCTCCCGCCCAATTCGCGCAGTGGCAAGTGGCCCCGGCATGTTTTTGTTTGGGGTGGGCGGGGCGCCCAGCCGGCCAGCGCTCGGCCCGCGCGGTAGCACGAGGACCGAGGGAGGAGGGACCCGGGGAGGGTCCGGAGGGGAAAAGAGAGGCACAGACGCGAACAAGCGTCGATGCTTGGGTGGGAAGATACGGGGAGAATAATATGGCAAGCGGAGAGGAGGACGGAGGTCCAGAGGACATGCAAATTCAAAAGCGTTGGGCATCTTGGGGCTTGTGCTTCGTTGTTTGTGTGCCCCACGGGCCCCTTTCAGGTGGGAGGGAGGAGGGAGGGAGGGTGGTGAGCAGGGAGGACAGCGGAGGGGGGAGGAGCAGCGAGGGTGGGGAAGTGAGGCCGGAGGGGAGACGGGATGAGGAGGGAGGGAGGACGGGGAGCAGGGAGGACAGCGGAGGGGGGAGGAGCAGCGAGGGTGGGGAAGTGAGGCCGGAGGGGAGACGGGATGAGGAGGGAGGGAGGACGGGGAGCAGGGAGGGCAGCGGAGGGGGGAGGAGCAGCGAGGGTGGAGCAGAGAAGCAGGAGCGAGGAGGCCTCGAGGGGAGAAAGGGTGAATGAGGGGGGGGGGAGGGAGGGAGGATGGGTTGCAGGGAGAACATCGGAGGGGGGAGCAGCGAGGGTGGAGGAGAAAAGCAGGAGCGAGGAGGCAGGAGGGGGAGAGAAAGGAGGAAGGAGGGGTGGCAATCGCTATTCGAAGGCGGGCGAGGGGAGGAAGTGAGACTTGAAGGCCTTCTCAGAAGGCTAGGAAGTCCCCCGGAGGAGGACGAGGAGGAGGAGAAGGAGGAGGACGAGGACGAGGACGAGGACGAGGACGCGGGGGAGGAGAAGGAGGAGGAGGAGGAGGAGGAGGAGGAGGAGGAGGAGGAGGAGGAGGAGGAGAAGGAGGAGGAGGAGGAGGAGGAGGACGAGGAGGACGAGGACGAGAAGGTCCGGAAGTCCCAAGGCCTTCTGAGAAGGGTTCTGAGCTTTCCACGAAGACACAAAAGCACCTCGCAGAAGGCCCGAGGGTTTCTGAGAAGCCCCGCCGACTTCTGGGAAGGCCTTCTCCTTCTCACTTCCCCCCTTCGCTCGCCGTCGGACCACTTCCCAAACCGCCCCAACCCAACCCGAAGGTCCCAGACTCCACCAAAGCTCGGGTTCGGGGGCCTTCGGGTTCCATCGTGTTTCCTGGATGTTCTGGAGTGCCCCCCCCCCGCCGGAAATTGACGACCCCAACAGTGGCTTCGGGTTGGATAGGGACGGTGTGGAGGAGTCAGGCGAGCGGGGGGGAGGGGGGAGCACTGAGCCGGGAGGACGGAGGAGTGGACCGGACAGGGACATTTCGCGCCGAGGTCGACAACATGGAGCATGAGGTCATCCTTGAGGTGGCTGAGGCGTGTATCTTCCGGGCCACCACCCACCATTCGGACGGCGTGGACGTGTTCATCGCTCTCAAGAAGGCGCGCGGCACTTGGGGGAGGAGTGAGAACATCTTAGACGAGACCTGTCGCATTTCGGCGAGGTCGTGGATTTTTCGGTGGTGGTGGGCGAAGGCGGTCGATCGGGTTCTCGATCGACGGGGTGCCCCGCTCCTTCTGATGGATCGGGCTTCATGGAACATGATCAGGTCCGTGCCGCATCTCATGCTGCATGAAGAGGATTACTCATAGCGGGGGTAAGTATGTGTGTTGAGTCGTAGTGTGCTGTCCCCACACGCGACCGTCTCAGTGCTACCGCCATGGCGCTGCATCCTCTTCTCTATCGTCTACCGCGCTGTGACCTCGTCGCCGAGCACTCATTGGTGCGATGCCATCATCGGGTTCCTACCTAGTGGGATTCGGCCCAGTCCGCCATCCAGGCTGAGTTGTGGTCCAGAGGCTTCTTAGACGTCTCTTTGAGGCTCTTGGGTGGTCCCTTGGATGTGTGTTTGGGGCTCGGGAGACTCTTGGGAGCTCCTTTTGTCGGTGGCGAGCGAAGGGGGGTGGGCGAGAAACAGGCCTTCTCAGAAGGGGGCGGGGCTTCTCAGAAGCCCTCCGGCCTTCTGAGAGATTTTCTGTGTCTTAGGGGATGGCTTGGAAAACTTTTCAGAAGGCCGGGGGACTTCCGAGCCTTCTGAGAAGGCCCGCCCCTTCTCACTTACCCCCCGAGCTCGCCGCCGATGTGGTGGCTTCTAGGGGGCCTTCGCCATCTTGGCGTGGAGGACTCGAAACGTCAGCGTGTGCTCCCTCGCTTGGGCCCCTCTTGGTGCGATCTGGTCCTGGCCTCCAGGACCGAGAGTCTCTGCCCCGAGTGTCTCGCCCCGGGGACGCCTGTGCCCCAGACATGTATGGGCCACAGGGTCTCGGGCCCATCTTGGGGGCTTGGAAGCCAGGCTGAAGCGACCCCGGGGGGGCTCTCGGGGCCGTCTTGGGCGCTCCTCAATCCGAGAAGGCGAGAAGGGTCAAATGGCTGAACAACTTTCGGCCTTTCGCTGATTTTGCCCCGCGTGGCGGCTCCTCGAGCCTCCATGACCCCCCAAGAGGCGCCCAAGTGGGCTCCAGGACTGGCCAGGCCATGGGGGAATCTCACAACATGTCGGACGTGCGGAATTGCAGCACGCTGCGGAGGCGTCCAGAACGGTTTCGCGACAAGCCCTGGCCTGGAAGCTTCTGGGAATGCCCAGAACTCGCGGGTCTGGGCCACAGAAGGAGCATTTACAAAACAGAGGGCTCGAAGGAACCCGAGGACACTCCAGTGCCTCGCGGCACGGTTGCGGGTATGCATTCAAGGGGGGACTGGGTCTGATCGGTTGGAATTGGCCCCAGGACGGCCCAAGACGGCGCCAAGAGGGCTCCAGGACTGCTCCAGAAGACCCCCAAGGCGACCTCGAGGGGCCCTGGGCAGCCCAAGGGGGCCCCAAGACAGCTCAAGAGTGCCACAAGACGTCCCAAGAGAACCCTTGGAGGCCCCCAACTTGCCCAAGAGACCCCCAGTTGAGCTTCGATACAGCCCCATGACGATCAAAGCGGGCTCTTTGAATTCAACCACAGTCGAGAATGGTCCATCGATCATTTTCGACAAACGCGTTGCAGCTTAATTGAACCCATCTAAATGAATAATTCTGGATAGTGGGCGAACTTTGTGATCTCGACCATTGTGGTTTCCAGTCCCTGAATGAGTCCATATAGCGTCTGCAAAGGCCCTGGGATGGCCCTAAGACGCCATGGCCACCCTGCGGTTCATGGCGGCCCTTTTTGTCGCGTTATTTTCTGTCGCCAAAGCCTAGAATGTGCGCGCACGAAGAGCACGCGATATGGCCAGAAAAGCATGACCTCTCATTTTTCAGGATTGTGTTGGTTGGTGGGTTGACGGTGGGACGGGGGACGACGTCATATACTCGCATATGGTATGTCGTACGGGAGTTCATGTCTTATACCCCACCTGAGGTGTGTGTGTGTGTTTATATATATATATATATATATATATATATATATATCGGAGTAGGGCCCGGGGGCGGCCCGGGGCGCTGCCTGTAATCTCCGTGGGGGGTGCAGGGCGCCCCCGGGAGCGTCCGAAGCGTCCCGGAGGGCCCCTGGGACCGCCAGGAAGAGTTCGAGACCGCCCAAGACGGCCCGCGAGCGCTCCAAGACGCGCATAGATAGCCTCAGGAATGGCCAGGAAGGCCCGAAGACGTTCCAAGAGAGCTCCATGAGGCCCCGAAGGCATCCCAAGAAGCCTCCCAAGAGAGCCCCGACAAGCCAAAATCGTTGATTTGTATTGTTTTTTTCGAGGTGTTTGGCCTTCTCGCTTTTTTGGGGTTCCGACGCTCCAAGGCCGTCCAAGAGTCTCCCAAAACCGCTCCAAGACGGCCGAAGAGGCCCCCAAGACCGCCCCAAGACGGCCCAAGAGACCCCCAAAATCGTCCCAAGACGGCCCAGGAGAGCCCCAAGATGGCCCAGGAGCCGCCCAAGACGGTTCCAGGAGAGCCACGACAGGGCTTCAAGACTGCCTAAGCGAGCCCAGCGGTCCCCAAGAGGGTCCCGCGAGGCCCCAAGAGGCCCCAAAGAGGCCCCCAAGAGCCTCCCCGGAGGCCCCCAGAGGCCCCCAAGATGCCCAAAAATGGCCCTGAGCGCGCCCCAGACGCCTCCAGGAGAGCCCAACAGGCCTCCGAGAGGCCCCCAAGAGGCCCACTGGAGGCCCTCAGGAGGTCGTCCCCATCATGTTCCCGGAAGGCGGTCCGGGAACATGATTCCGCGCCTTGGAGGAGTATTCTGCGCCTTCCGAGGCGCCTTGGACGACGTGCGTTTCTATATATTGTCCTTTTTCCTGTGCACACAATCCACAATCCTACATGTTTTACGTATGTTTCTATATATATATACACACGTGTGTGTATGTATGTATGTATGTATGTATGTATGTATGTATGTATGTATGTATGTATGTATGTATGTATGTATGTATGTCTGTGTGTGTGTATGTATGTATGTATGTATGTATGTATGTATGTATGTGTGTGTATGTATGTATGTATGTATGTATGTATGTATGTATGTATGTATGTATGTATGTCTGTCTGTCTGTATGTATGTATGTATGTATGTATGCATGTAGGTAGGTAGGTAGGTCGGTCGGTCGGTCGGTCGGTCGGTCGGTCGGTAGGTAGGTCGGTAGGTAGGTAGGTAGGTAGTTAGGTAGGTAGGTAGGTAGGTAGGTAGGTAGGTAGGTATATGTATGTGTGTGTATACATACATATACATATATACATATATATAAAACTAATAATAATAATAATAATGATAAAAATAATACTAATAATAATAAAATGGGAAGGGGGTCCTGGACCAGGGGGGGGGCCTCACTTTGCCCAGTGGCTGTGGTCCCCCCCCCGCCGGAGACGCCAGGACGCTCCCAGGACCACCTAAAATGGCTCCAGGACGCCCTCAGGACAGCCCAAGAGAGGTCCGAAGCGGCCCGGGAGCACTCCAAGACGGTTAAAAAGCTGCCAAAGCGTCCCAGCAGGTCTCCGACAACACTCTCGGGAGAGGCCCAATAGGAAATTGTTACTGATTTTTAGTGGGTTTTGAAGGGTTTTGGCGTTCTCCCCAGTTCGGCTTCCAGACGCTCCAAGGCGGCCCAAGAGGCCCGAAAGATCGCCTCAAGACGAGCCCAGAGGCCCCCAAGAGACCACCGAGACAGCCCAAGAGGGCCCCAAGACGGCCCAGGAAGCTTCCAAGACGGCCCAAAAGAGCTCCCAGAACACTCCAAGAGGAGCCCCAGATGGGGAGCACGAACTGACATTTCGAGCCCTCGCCCACCAGAAGCTCCCAGGAGGCCCCCAGGAGTTCGCAAGAGGCCTCGAGAGGCCCCCAGGAAGCTCCAAGTGGCCTCCAAAAGGCGCCGAAAGGGCCCCGCAAGGCTTCCAGACGCTGGTGATAATGACAATGATGATTATGCAGGGCGGCCTCAGGCCCACAACCTAAATCCCCAATACTGCTCACGCGGCATGCAAGACGCTGCGGAGATATCCTCGAGTTCGGCGGGGGAGCTTCGGAGACGACGGTGACGAAAATGATGACGATGATGACGACTATTATGAAGTTGACGACGACGATGACGATGATGAGGATGATGATGATGCTGCTAATGATGATGATGATGATGATGATGATGATGATGATGATGATGAGGAAGAAGATTATGATGATGATGTTGACAGTCGGAATGATGATGATGATGCTGATGATGATGATGTTGTTGATGATGGTGATCGTGATGTGAGTGATGGTGATGATGATGATGGTGGTGATGCTGACGATCATGATGACGATGACGGTGATGCCGTTGAGGATGATGATGCTGACGATCATTATGATGATGCTGCTGATGGTCAGGATGATAACGCCGATGCTGATAATAATGGTGGCGATGCTGTTTATGGTGCTTGTGATGCAGGAGTGGGCGGATGATGAAGATGATGACGATGATGATGACGATAACGAGGACGACGATCATGACGACGACGACGAAAATGATGACGATGGCGATGATGAGGATGATTATGTTGATAATTCAGGTGAGGATATTGACGATGATGACGACGATGGCGATGATGACGATGGTGATGACGATGTTGCTGCTGATGGTGGTGATGGTGACGATTGTGATGATGGTGATGGTCATGGTGATGATGACGATGCCGCTGACGATGACGCCGGATATGATGGTGATGAGGATGGCGATGATGACGATGACGATTATCCTAGCTAGAACTTGAGCGCGCGCGAAGCGCGCGCGATGGTTCTAGTATATATATATATATATATATATATATATATATTCACACGTGTATACGCATGGTGGGTACGTCGACGGCCCAGAGAGAGCAGACACGAATGACAGACGAACATAAACCCGCCCATGTACATGCACCAAGGGCATGCGCCTAATAATCCAGCATCAAGAGCTACTTGGTGCAACACAAGTACAGTCGCATGACTCTTTGTTCATAACCTAGTGAACGATAACTTGCTGGATGCAATTCGCAGCGGGGTCGCAGCGGAGTTTCCAAGATGCCTTCGCGGGTCTCTAGGGACCTCCACGGCAATCCGCGAGACCTTCCTTGAGAAGGTTTGCGCAGGTCTTTATCCGTCTCCACCTCCCTCTTGTCTGCCTCCCCCTCGTCTTCATTTTCCTTTCAGGCTGGCCTACTGCTCTTCCTCTCCGTTCTCCTTTGCCTCCTAATTGCTTCTCGCCGCCCCACTCCTCGGTCTGCTCGTCCTTCCCCCCTGTACATATTTGCTCCTGGCACCCCCATCCCATCATCATTCCATCATCGCACCATTCGGTGACCCTGTAGGGCAAATCAGGCGTTCCGCTGGAGACTTCCTCCGGATTTATGTCCAAAGGCCTTCGGCCCATCCCGCCACCACGCCTGGGTTGTAAGTCGCAGGCCTCTTGTATGCCTTTGGAGAAATTTCTCGGAAGGCCTCTCCGAAGCCTCTTGGAGGCTTTTTTGGGGTGTCTTGAAGCCTCTGGGGGGCCTCTTGGGGCCTCGTGGGATTTATTTTGGGCCCTCTTTGGGACTTTAAGAGTATGCTGGCAGTCTCCGGGGTCAACTTGGGGCGGAGGGCTCAAAATGCCAGTTCGAGTTCCCCCTCTGGGGCCCTGTCGGGCTGTCTTGGGGGCTTCTTGGGCCATCTCGAGGAATAATTGGGCAGTCTTGGGGCCCTCTTCGGGGCTTATTGGGCCGTCTTGGGGCGACCTTGGAGGCCCCATGAGCCGTTTCGATGCATCGGTAGCTCGAAAAGGCGAGTACTTCAGGATGTCAACCACCCAGAAAGGACATCAATGATGATGTCATCTTGGGGCTATCTTGGGGCGTCATTGGGGCGTCATTTGGGCCGTCTTCGGGCTATCTTGGGCGTCTTGGAGCGAGATACTTGGGAGACCCAGAGCCTTCTCGGACCGTCTTGGGGGGCTCAAGTTGCCCCCCTAGGCAAGTTTTGAGGCCCCCTTGCCTCCGAAGCTGTGTGCCCCCAGGCCCAGGCGCCCAGGCGGTGAAGCTGTGTGCCCCATGAACAGACTTGCAGTCGTCGATGCAGCGGACTCCCTCCGGGACCCGGGGACCTGGGGACACTCCACGTTGTACCTGGGGGCACGCTGGCGGACGTCCCCGAGTCCTGAATGCCCAGCAGCGGTATGCATCAAAGCGGGCAGCCGGCTTTCGTGGAGGCCTCTTGGAGGCCGTCTTGGGGCGTCTTGGGGCGATCTTGGGGGCTTCTTGGGCCGTCTTGGAGCGGCGGAAAGCGGAACATGCGAGAACGCCCAAATCTTATTCAAAAGCCAACGGGCAAGCAATGAATTTTGCCTCTCGGGAGTGCTCCAGGAGGCCTCTTGGGGTGTATTGGAGGATTCTTAGGCAGTCTGGAGGTCGTTAAGGCGTTTTGGACCGATCGTGTGGCGATTGGGGGCCCTCTTGGGCTTTCTCGGGAGCCTCATCCTTGGCCTGTTCTGATACTTTCTGACGCCAGGGCATGGGTATCTGACCCCCCTGGGACCTCGCCGCACCTCCGAAGGGAGTGATCAAACGCAAGGGGCTTCCGTTCGGCTCGATTACGACATTGTTAGATGTTGCTTCCGCTCGCAGGCTTGAGGAGGAGGGTGCAGGGAAAGAGGGCGACGGAGACGACGACTGACGGAGGCAACGATTCGAACAAACAAGCCTTTCACACACGCCGACGGGGTCGGGGGATGTTAATCTTTATCTTATCCCGCTTCGCCCTCGTCTGCGCCGAGGCCGACGACGTGTCGGGCGCCAGGGTGTGCCAGACCTCCAAGCATCCGGGCCCGGTGCCGCGGCAGAGCATCTTCTGCTTGCTGCAGCCCGGCCGGGGGGGGGCCCAGGGCAGGGTTCGTTGACGACCCGTGTGCACCGTGCTGCGCTGGCGTCGTCCGAGGCGTCGTCGATCCCCGACCCAGGACCGGTACGGTAGGTGCGTGTCGTGTCGACTCGGCAACGACCGCACTGCGGGCGCTCGAAGGTTGAAAGCCACCAGCGGTCATTCGTCCACGATTGAACGACCTGCGCTTGCGGAGAGCCGCGATCGGCGCAGGCTGAACGGTCCACGCGGCGTCAGAAAAACCAACGCCAAAGTCGTCACGGCACGAACCTGCCGTGCGGTGCAAAGGTTTTCGGCCCTCGGAGCCGGAGAACTATGCACCGTATCGCGTTGGCGCGGGGCCTGAGAGGAGTCCAAGCATGGTAATTAGGCTTCGCCCGTAGCCCGGGTCGACCTTTGACGCCGCCGGCGCCTTCGCCTGCGGCTGCGACGAAAAAAAAAGTATCCCCACCAGCTGCTCGGCGTTCGACTCGTCTTTGCGCGCCCGCGTACCAAAAAATCCCCACCAGCCGTGACGCTGTTGCTGATTTGTGATGCCTCCCCCGCCATTTTGGTCGCGTTGAGTCCTGTTCCTCCCTGAGCCGGGCGCCGCTCACTTCGCCTTCGGCGCGGCCCGCCTTAGCTTGAGTTAGCTTGCACGGCGTTCGACTCGTCTTCTGGCGCCCGCGTACCAAAAAGTATCCCCACCAGCCCATGGCTCTTGGTGGCCTCTTAGGGCGTCTTAGGGGCCTCTCAGGGGCCTTGTCCGGCCTTCTTGGGGCCCTCTTGGGAGCTCTTGAGGTTTTCTCGGGACCATTTTGGAGGAAAAACGATCAAAAAAGCAGGGCGGGTCCTCAATTAGCGTCACCCTCCCCCCTCCGTTCGAAGGCTAAAATTGGTCCCAAACCTATGTCGGATCAATGATGTTTGCCTTCTCGCTGGGGCCTTCTTGGACGGCCCCGCGACTGGCGATCTCCCTCTTCCAGACCTGGGGGGGGGGGATGGCGGGAGGTGGTCAAACCACCCACAAGTCGCAAGCCGTCTCGTTCATTTCCACCCGCCTTCCCAACACATAAGTAGCACCCGAGCCTCAGCACGGACAGGGACCGCCATTGACAACCATCGGGAACCATTGCAGACGCCAGCCAGGTGCGCGACGCCCGCGAGGTGCGCCGCGGGTGCCGGGGCACCTCTATCATCCCTGTCGACTAACAATTCGTAAATGATCGTGGGGCGCCCGCATATGGTCCAATATTTTGCCGCAACGTGCGTTGTGCATGGGTTTATGATAAGGATGGGGCGCTCTGGGGGCCGTCTGGAACCGTCTTGGGCCAGTTTGGGAGATTTCTTGAGCCCCATGGGGCGTGAAACGGCGAGAATTCAACAACCATTGGTTTCCTTAGGCTCTCGAGTGCGTCCTTGGGGAGTTCCTTGGCCACCCAAGGTCATTTGTGAAGGGTCTTGCGGCTCGTGGAGCATGTTGGAAGCAATCGTGCAAATTCTTGGTATCTTGATCAATTTTGCAGGCCATCTTCGATCATCTGGCGCCTTCTAGACTCAAGGGAGGGGTAGGGGAAACGGTGGTTGGAAGATGATGCATCCTAATCCACGAGTTAAAGGGCTGGCGGGACTTCGTAAGCCTTGCCAAGCACCCAATCTCTGTGTGCTCAAGTGTCTCTTCGCGGACACGGCTCGGATTCTGCCCGATGCAGACGTGATGGTTGTTTCTTCTGCACGGCCTAAGAAAGTATTGATATTTGTTTTGTGGAAGTTCAGCCAGAGAGGTTTTCGACGTAGTCTGCGCATTCCGCTGACCCTGCATGAAATGTCCGAGTGCGTGATGCAGGGAGTCTTTGAAAGTGAGGAACAAGTCCTCGGTCTCACTCGTTCGACTCTCCAGGGAAAGGTTTGTGGACCATCTGGTGGAATCGTCGGACTGCCTGTGCCAGGAACTGGACGCGATTCGATTGAAGTAACACCATTCCGAATTTCCCCCATATGTTTTCTTAAGAGGGTCACTTGTTGCAGAGATCGGTGATGCAACGTGCGCTCTGGTCACCTTCGTGATCGGGACTATCCTCTGCAGCAGTGCCTGCTTGATCGGGACATGCCAAACATGCACCAGGTAGATATGCATGACTCCCGGCCTCCGAGCACCGTCAGCGCCTAAGAGCGGGCGCTTTCCAAGAGACGGCAGCTCCGCGGCGCCGTCGCCCTGCCCGCGCCCGCCCGCGAAGGCGGCCAGGCGCGGCCATCGGGGGCTCCTTTCCCTTGGGCAGTGATTACCGTGGGACATTCGGTTCGCTCTCGGCTGCGAGGAGAGGAGGTTCAGGAGGAAAAGAAACACACAGACACAATTAATCGTCGATTCCACAGAAAATATGGGAAAATATGGGAAGTGGTGGGGAAGACAAAAACCCAGAAGATATAGGAAAATATAGGGGGATCTTTTTGTTTGTGTGTATTTATTTGTGTGTCCCAGGGCCCCTTCAGAGGTGTGGGGGAGGCCGCTACTCGCTGATCTTCTTCGCCGACTACCCCCTCGGAGGCCTGCACCCCTGCAGCGACTTCTTCGTCCAGAGCGGCGTCGCACCCCGGCGAAGAGGCAGGCGACGGCGGCGGGCCGCGCGGGATCCAGTGGGCCTCCTCCTCCTCCTCTCCTCGCTCCTTACCTTCGACTCCTCCTCGCTCTCCTCCCGCTCACCTCCTCTCCTCATCCTCCTCCTCCTCGTCCTCCTCCTCCCGCGTTTCCCCTCCTCCTCCCCCTCTCATCTCCTCCTCCTCCTCCTCCCTCCTCCCTCCTCCTCCTCCCTCCTCCTCCTCCTCCTCCCTGACGTCCCCCCCCACGTTCTCGCTGGTGAAATACCTGCCTTCGTCCCTCCTCCTCTTCCTCCTCCTTCTCCTCGCTGATAAAAACCCTGCCTTCATCCCTCGTCCTCCTCGTCCTCCTCCTTCTCCTCCCCCTTCTCCTCGTTCTCCTCCCTGACGTCACGCCCCATCTCCTCGCTGATAAAAAACGGCCTTCATCCCTCCTCCTCCTCCTGCTCCTCCTCCTCCTCCTCGTCTTCCTCCTGGGGCACCGCGGTGCCTACCTCCCCAGCCCTGCACCGGGCCGGGCTCCTGCCCGACAGGGGGTGCTTGTTTGCCTGAAGCTCCGGCCGACCCCACACCAACCCCCAACACCCCAACAGCTGCAGCCTGGAGCGCGTCGGTCTGGGCCTCCTGGGAGGCAAGACTCGGAGCCCAACGAGCCACTGGACAAGCCAAGTCGTGCCCAGTGGCTTCCGTCAAAGGCCCGATGCTCCAGCCCGCGTGCTGTGGTGCCCTCTTGGGAAGCTGCCCTCGGCAGCAGCCCGGTTCCGCTGCCTCTTTAAGGCAGTGGTCGGGGGCTGGCAGGGCTTCGCAAGATTCTGCGCACCTCCCCGTGGATAGCTGCCGCAAGAGGTGCACACAGCCGCGCGGCTGCCCGAAGAAACAGGGCGCCCGTCGGCCTAGAAAACCGGGGTCACCTCAGCACTGTGCTCTTGCAGTTTGAACAGCACGGCGAGCTCCACATCGCCTCAGCCTGAGGGGCAAATCGCAGGAAACAAAAGCCTGCCCCTGCCCACAGAGAGGGCGGTCTTGCCATCAAGGTCCGGAGGGGGCTCGGGACGAGGGGTGCAAGGAGGAAG